TTGTTGCCCAGGCTGGAGTGCAATGGTGCAATCTCGGCTCACTGCAACCTCCGCCTGCCAGGTTCAAGCGATTCACCTGCCTCAGCCTCCTGAGTAGCTGGGATTACAGGCGTGCACCACCATGGCCAGCTAATTTTTTCTTTTTTTTTTTTGTATTTTTTTTTTTTTTAGTAGAGATGGGGTTTCACCGGTAAATGTAAATTTTACCAAAAATAAAACAAGATTATAATGCAACACGTGAATCAGCCTTTTGAAGCGCACAGGAAGGGAAGTCACAACTCCCAACCTCCCCCTCCCAAACCCCACTCCCCAGACCATATCAGCCGGCCTGACAGCCATCAGGAACAGTCCTCGCTGGAATTGCTGACTGAGGAGCCTGTCTGCCACTAGAGAGCAAATGTTCTGACAGAGATTCTGCATCAAGGCCTAGACCGGAAAGTCAAAGCCAGGAAAATCTGGAAAGAACAGAGGTCAAAATATAATGGAGGAAATCTGAGCAGACCACCTATCCACAGCAGGCCCAGGTGGACAGAAACCAGGCTTAAGCAAAGTTTGCCGAGCAAACATGTTGCTTTTCTCACGATATAAATACATTTAATCCTTTCATAGCAAGATCCCAAGCTGATCCCAAGAGCTCATTCAGAAGGATTTTATTATGCAAGTCACCAAAAATCAGTTACAGGCAAGTTTGCCTTTAGGTTAACAGCTAAGGAGCCTGGAAGTCTGGGCTCTGGGAAAGCCCTTTGTTCCGGGAATCCCGTCCCTCAAGCAGGGTTTTAATTTCACTTCAATTTCAAGTCCCCAAATCAAATTTTAAAAGTGCCCACTTAAAGAACTGCAGAATAAACGAGGGGTCCAGTACTTTTTCTGGACCCTCCAGGCCTCAGGACAGTATCAAATTACAGGGCTTTCCCGCCTGGATACGGCCCCTCCACCCCCCACTGTTTTTCTTTTTTAAAAAAGAGAATCCCACACACACCCTACTGTGTCCACCATTTCAAATACCTTGCTAATACATCCCTATTCTGCATCTCTCTGGAGTCTTCTAAGAATCTGGGAGGAGCTAACAAACGGAATTTGAATAATAATGAGGCGACTGAACAATTTAATTACGGAAGGTAGCTCTAGAGACTCCAATAAAAGGGCTGAAAGGCTTTATCTACAAAAATGTGGCCTGGTGCTCAACGGTAAGACCAATTACCGGGAGTGCAGAAGACAGAAAGCACAAAGGTGCACACATCAGTTTAAGCAAATGAGGAATCAGCACAAATCATCCAAGAGAGAAAATACTATGAAAAAGTGTTTTCATAGTGGGAAGGCTGCTTTCTCATCTACCAGCTGCAAGGCATAGTTAACTTTATTTCCTTTCTGATTCATTGAAAGTCGTGCCTGCCAGATGTAGAATAATGAAACTACCCTCGTGAGAAAAGCTTTGTATAGAGAATTTAAAATAAGTTCAGTGAATTCTCAATAAAAGTTCTTTAAAAATCAATAGTCACAAAGGTACTTGTATCTCTCACACGATTTCTTCAGTGTGAAACATTAAAGTTAGTTCCTTCTCTTGGATGCATACAAGTTTCACTAAGAATAACATCATGTTTAACAGCCGTTTTCTATTGACCTTTGCAAGTGACCTTACAATAAAGGAACTTTTGCTCACTTCTGAGGGAAACTAAACAAAGTTTAACCTTTCTGGAATACCAAAAGGCTCTCAACTTCCTTAGACCTTAAGAAAACGCAGGAAGCCCCCACAAGCTGAACGACTGCTAAAACCCGCTTCTAGAACAGGAAAAAGAGTTTGCTTCAATGGCAAAGAATTCCCCCGCCGCGCGCTCACTCCCGGGCAGGCACTGCCATGTCCAGGTGGTGATACCGAGAGCAGATAAGGTGTCCTGACAACGGTGTTTGCGTGGATCCCGGGAAACCTGCGGCCACTGGGCGACTCCCAGAACAGCTTGGCGAGCATCCCCCCGCCGCCCCGCGGGTCTCCCCAGCCAACACCTGGGTGGACCCCTCCTGCGGCGACGCGGGGCGAGACTGACACCCGCAGCTGCCGACGACCCTGCCAGTCACGCTGCCGCCGGCTGCCTTTTTTTAGCCACGACATCTGACCCTGGCTTCAACAGCACCGTTCAGGGAGAGAGGTCCCAGGACGCGCCCGTGGTCCCCTCCCCTCCCCAACCACCAGAAGCTGCGGAGAACTTGGGGTGAGGGGCGCGGGAGGCACCGGCTCTGAAAGGGGCAGAAGCGCGCGCTCCTCCGGCCCAAACGCTTCCTCCCTCCTTCCCCTTTTCCACCGATCCTGGTTACCCCTCCGCCACCAGCACCGCGCTCCCTCATTTGGCAGCTCGAGGTCACGCTTCTGGCGTCCCTCCCCACCCCAGCCCCTCAACTCCGCTCCCCTGGACCCCCTCCAAGTCTGTGACCAGCGCACTGCCGGGCTGGGGGCGGGAAGATGCCAAGGGGAGGAAAGGGGCGCCAGCCGAGGACGCGGGGGCCGGGCGCTCACCTCCCTCCTCTGTGCCGCTGTCCGGATCCGCGTCCGAGGAGTCGGGCCCGTCTCCGTAGTCCGCTAGCCCCACCAGCTCATCCTCCTCCTCCTCCTCCTCCGCGTCGTCCTCGTCCTGCGGCTGCGGCTTCCCCAGCACCTGGCTCATCGCGCCCACCGGCCGGCCGGCCCGGGGACGGCGGGGGTCCCGGGGTGGGGGCCAAGCCTCCTAGCCGGCCGTCCGCAGCCTATTTCTGAAGCGGAGGTTTGTCTAGAGCTCGGCAGGGGCCGGCGGAAGCGGGGGCCGCGCGTCCCCCAGCGGGCGGCGCCCAGGTCCGGGTCCCGCGGTTCCCAGCGCGCCCGAAGCCCCCTCCCCCGCCCCGCCTGCCGGCGGAGGAGTCAGCCGGAGCGCGGCAGTTCCTCCCCGAGGAGAGAGAGAGAGAGACTGCGTGACCCGAGTCACCTGACACACACTGTCACACACTCACATACACACCCCGCACGGGCGCGCGCCCGCCCGGCCGCGGGCACCACTCGGCGGGGCGCTGGGCCGAGGACACACACGCACACGCACGAGGAGAGCAGGGAGGCGCGGGGCCCCTGCACCCTCCCAGACACTCACACGCAGACACACGCCCAGTACACGGGGCCCCCGGGACGCCGCGCCGTCACCCACCGCGGCTGCGCGCCAGGGGCCCCCACGCGCAGCTTCTTCACGTGGTCCCCGCAGAGGCGGGGGAGGGGGCGCCGCACACCCTGAATGTCCCCCCGTCGTCCCACTCCCACACGCACACACACCCGTAGAGCCCATACCGTGGGCGGATGCCTCCTGCTTACAGTCCCGAGCTAAGGTCCCAAGTGGGTGGCCTCCCAACACTGTGGCGCGCCCAGATCCCCCACCCCAGAGCAGCGTGCCCAGGACACCTTGTGGAAGCTCAAGAGCCCCAGGCGGAGAACTCAGATAAATGCACAGTGGAGGCGCAGTCTCCATAGCAATTGTCTTTTAGTGTGCCTTTGTGGTTCAAAGTGCTTCCCACCAAGAATATTCAAAAAGCAGGCCTACCCAGATGTAAATGTTTCTGAAGAAATCACATGACTCCTGGCTGCTTAGACTAAATAATTCCTCTGCAGCCTTTTGGAAAAGGTCTCAGTGTATAACACACTCAGGGGCTATTCATGGCCACCTCCTCATGTCTCATTGTTGCATAGACTGTAATCCCACATAAATAAAATATTTCAAGGCTTTTGTGGGAGTAGGGGAGTGGCGGTGGTGGGGGGGCAATTCTCAAATAGGAATAGCAGCAACGTGGAGTGAGACTCTAAAACCTGCATTCCTCCTTCACAAGCTTTTCACCACGGAACACACTGTACCCACCCTTTCTGGGTACTGCAAAAAATCACGTGGATGAACTTCCTTCTGTGGAGTACAATAAGAAAAAACCGGCTGGTCAGCATCATGATCCAGCTCCTACAGGTGCCAGCAGCTCAGCCGGTGGAGCGGTGCAGAACCGGCGGGAAGAAGCTCGGGCAGGAGACTCTCAGGGCCCAAGGGTGCTAACCTCCATACGAAACATTTATTAACCACCTCCTATATGCCTGGGGCTGGGCTAAGTAGGGGGTCCAAGAATGCTCAGGGCCGTGTTCCTGCCCTGAAAGAGCTCGCAGTCTACCAAATCATGACTCATGTCCTGGATTTTTAAAATTTCTGAATGTAGAAAGTGGATGCAGACACTTTCCAGAAGGTGGCTGCTTCTAATTGGAAAGGTCCTGAGATTTTCCAAGGGAGGCAGGCACTATAATTTGGTATGACTGTATCAGTTAAGGTCCTTCCCAGGATTAAATAGATGGTACGTGCAAAATGAAGCCTTCAAGTGAAGGAACAATTTACAGGGGTGTAGAAAGAGTTCAGGGAATCAATGCGGGTATTAGCAATAGTGGGAAGAAAATACCACCCCTAAATTTACAGGAGTGAAGGAAGGGAGCTATAGTCCTGGAGAGGGGCCGCAAAACAGGAGCTGTAACTGATGAGGAAGCTGCTGTTGCCAGTATTGCCTCACATCAAGAAGAGAGCAAAGAAATATCCTGACCTCTCTCTCTCTCTCTCTCCATCCATCCTCCCTCCACCCTCCTGGGTCTCCCATTGGCCAAACCCATCTGGTAGCCAGAAGGCAAGGGAGCCTGGAACCTACTCCAGGACAGAGCTTGGTTAGGGAGGGCAGGGAGTGGGTCCCAGGGTGGGGTGAGGTGCAAGGAACATCACCAACACAAGCAGGCACTACTTACTCCCATCAGAGGCAAGTTACTTAAGCCCTTCTAAACTTGATTGCTTATCAATAGAATATCACTCCTTGTAAGGATTATTAGGAAGATTAAATGAGGGGAAAAAAATCTCAGGTACTTACAAAGCTCATTTCCTAGGAGTAATTTTCCTAGCCTATTTTCATCCCTTCCATCAAAGGAAACCTCAGGGAGGAGGGCCTCCCAGAGTGTGGCTGAGGACTTTCAGCTATCCTATAGCTAGCCCACCAGCCTCAAGAGGCCTTTGAACTGGCCTGATTCAAACTGCAAATAACAGTTTGGGAGATCCTAGAAGATTGTCCAAGGTCAACCCAGACTCAGATGTATAGGGCATTCCTGGGCAGGTAGCCAAGTGTGTATGCCCCATGGACCCAAGGGATCAGGAAAGGGCAGGTAATAATCCAACAGCCCCACTGTGCCTCTGGACCAGAAAAGACAGAAATGTCTGATGATCCTCTAACTTCCCCAAGAAGAGAGATCTTAGAAGGAAACAGTAGATTGTGGCACACTCCAAGATACTTAAGAATTGGACCATTCTTTTTTTTTTTTCTTTCTTTTAACATAGAGTCTCACTCTATCACCCTGGATGGAGTGCAGTGGCATGATCTCAGCTCACTACAACCCCTGCCTCCCGGGTTCAAGCGATTCTCCTGCCTCAGCCTCCCAAGTAGCTGGGACTACAGGCATGCACCACCACACCCAACTAATTTTTGTATTTTTAGTAGAGACAGGGTTTCACCATATTGGCCAGGCTGGTCTCGAACTCCTGACCTCAGGTGATTCACCCACCTCGACCTCCCAAAGTGCTGGGATTACAGGCATGAGCCACCACACCCGGCCTGGACCATTCTTAAGAATAGAATAAAATCCCACAAAAAAATCAGTAGAAGTCAAATCCTCAATTATATTCTACCCCAAGCTAGATAAAAGAGTCACATACAGATTTAAGATATTCTAATTTACTATCATTTCAGAAATGTATAGTTGAACAGAACAGGAAAAGCTTTGATTGCTTTTTTCTTTTGCTGACATCATTTCAGTACTGTCAGCTTTCAAAGAAGAGATATGTTGAAAATATCCTAGAAATAGAAGTTCTTGAATTTAAAAAATCATGTGTGTAGAATCTTTCTGAATTTAAATAAAAACTGAAAAAAAAACTACAAGAACCCTGAAAGCCTTTAAGACACTCAGCGTGGGATCTGCTCAGTGAATTGGCTGCTGCCTTGGCCTCTCTGGACTGGAGCTCAGCCTATGTCTAGGGATGTCTCCCCGGGAGAGCGCTCCGAAGAATGTGAGGATTTGTCTCTGGGCTACCCATGGTTTTTGCTGTTGTATGTAACCATGGCAAGTATGTAACCATGCCTTATACTTGACAGGTGCTTAATAAATGCTTATGGAAAGAAAGAGAGAGGGGAGAAAGAAAAGAAGGAGAGAAGGAAGGAAGGGAGGGAGGAAGGGAAGAAGAAAAGAAGGGTGGGAAGAAGGGAGGAAGATAGTATATGGTTCTTCACACAGATCTAGCCTATTTCTAAGAGAAACTTCAAGAAGAAATAGCAGCCAAGTTTTCTACTTGCTCCAAACCTTGAGAAATGCCACAGTGTGGGTAAATATGAAGTGTTAGCTATAAGACAGCAACTAGGAATGAGCTGACATGCAAAAAGAGCATAAGTCTTAGGCCTTCATCTGTCCAAGACTGCCTGAGATCTGAAGAGACTACAATATCACGATGACTAAATGCTTATTTTATTTAAACTAACTTTTCCTTCTAAAAAAAAAAAAACAAAAACCTCTTAACTTTTAGGCATTTTTAGCATCATGAAAGAAGAGCTTTGTCTATTACCCATTAAAATTTAGCCAGCTAACATTTACTGAGATTTTCTACAAATGAGGAGGCACTGTTCCAAGATAATATGAACTTTAAAATATTCCCTTTAAGAATGTGATATCATCCCCTCTACTTTATAGATAAGAAAAAACAAGTTAAACAAGGTACTGCACAGAATGGATGGAGGAACTACTTTGGAACTCAGCCTGACACGAAACCTTAGTCCAAGCTTATACACCCCGTGGCCCAGGATGGCTTTGAAAGCAGCCCAACACAAATCCATAAATTTTCTTAAAACATTATGAGATGTTTTTACTATTTTTTTTTTAGCTCATCAACTGTCATTAGTGTTAGTATATTTTATATGTGGCTCAAGACAATTAACTCTTCTTCTTCTTCCAATGTGGCCCAGGGAAGTCAAAAGATTGGACACCCCTGCTTTAGTCCTATTTAATGGCCTAAGGCTAAACTCTACATAAAGCCATTGAACTGAAAAGGGTAGAAGGGAAGTGATGAACTGCTCCCAATCTCCTAAGAAGCAAAGCTCATATAGACACTCAAAAAATGGATCTGTTGCCTCAGCCAGATTTAATTTGCAGGATACACTGAGAGGAAAGGGAAAAAAAAAGGAAAAAAAACCTGGAAAACTTCCTAACCAACAAAAGAACGAAAACTTCTTGTTATAATACAATTGTGGATTGTCATCATTCCTTTTACTAGGAAGACAAATGGCAAGTGATTTAGTACCCTTTCTGGTTTATGTTATTTCTATACTGTATGCTAAGCCAATGTGTAAAATCCAAGTGTACTTTGGCTTGAAAATTTGAATTTTAAAGGCAAGAAGTTTGTTTCCTAATTTCAGTGAATTATTTTGCTGTTACCAGTTAGATGTCTTGTGATGACAAGGAATATGAGAGCTATTTAAAAGAAACCTGTACAATGTAGGCAGAGTAATTGCAGTTCTGAATAGGGCAAGCAATTAAATACAGCCTGCATCCTGCATCTTAGGGTATTTTGAGGCATCTCATGGCGTTGTGCCTGGTTCCTGGGATTCACATGCTGAAAGCTTTTCACGCTTTCTTTTTAAATATGTATTTAAAGCTATTCATCCTCTCTTGAAGCAAGCAAAGGAAAGAGCCTTCTACAGAATCCTGCTGGACTCATTCTAACCCAGGGAAGCCAAACAAATTTCTAAAGAGGGCAGCTCACAGCCTCCAGTTCACCTAAGACGTTTGATGATCTAATGAAATCATTAAAAATTATTGAATAATTTTTGAGAGGCAATCCCTCATGAAAGAGATCTTATTAAAATGTTTTACAATTTAAAAAACATGCACATGGTAAAATAGTCCAACAACACAAAAGAATATCCAATGAAAAGCTAGTTTCTCTCTCTCTTGACCTACAGCCCCCCAGTTCTCTCTAGAGGGAAACATTTGGTCTTTAAATGTGTAGACATACTCATAACCATTACAGAGATTATATTTTATAACTTCGTCACTTTAACAGTTGATGAACATCTTTTAA